TGGAAACAATGTTAAAATTATGGCGTAATAATCAAGTAAATGTGAAAAATTGTAAAATAATATAGGCCTAATTTGTTATACATATGTGTTATCTAAGATTTTATTAAACATTTTTTTCTAAATTATTGTTTTCTTTAGTCTCCGGCCCCAATTAAAAATTATTTGTATGTATTTATATGCAAAATTATACCCCGACTTACGCGGTTACCCTCGGTCCCACCTATCGCGTAAGTTCGGGGTATTACTGTACTTAATATAATTTAAAATATGTGTAATACCTATTCATTCTCATATATTATGAAAATAAATAGGTATTACCCATATTTTAAATTGTTATCAATATCTTATGATTATGATACACTTGAGGAACCAACTTCACGGACGATGTTATCACAGTAATTTCATAAAAATGAACAGGAAAAGGAAATTCAGGAAGTGACCTTTTCCTTGGGGAAAAAAAAGTAGAAATATTAAATATTAATAAAATCTATTTTATTTAATTTTTGTATCTTTGTATAGCCTTGTTAATTATGTTGAATATTCTACAGAAATATTATCGAAAGTTGTGAAATTTGTCTGAAATGTTGAAGAAAGTAATTCTTAAGTAGAACGAGCAATTATTTATTGTGACATCGTAACAATACCGGGGTGCAATTTTTAATTTATTTAATTTAAAATAAATGCCGGTTAAGCAAATAAATAGTGGTTTACTCCCGTACATCATTCTTTTCCTTTAACAATAGAGTCATGCCGGTTATCTAACTCTTTTCAGAGGAAAACTTTTGAATTAAAATAACATAACTTTTGTCTTCCATCGGAAGTTCGTATGTAGTTAATCTTTACCTCCTGCCCCTAATATTTCCATATCTTGTCTCAGATTTCATCTCTCTAACTTAATTTTCGAGATTATGGAAGGACAGGCAGAAAGATGACAGTGGGAATTTATAGGTGTAAATTTTTTTTCAAATTGCAGCCTAACAATTTGTAACAAAGCACTTGTAAAGTGATATATTTGAAGAGATAATAATTATATTTCAAAGAAACTTTGAAAATAGATGGAAAATAATAATATTTTTAAAATAGTTTCGAAATATTTACACATGCAATTAATAATTCTAGAAAAATTAACAAGATGAAATCAAGTGTTTAATTATTTAATGTGAAGAAAAATTTGTTTTATCGCGTTACAATTAGACTACTTGCTTTTCAGGTGTAATTCATTGTTTTCTGTTATTTTGCAGATATTATTCAAATATAAATTCTGTAACTAAAATTAAAACTCTAATTATGCTTTGTTAATTAACGTAATCTTAGTAAAGTTAAAATTAAGCAAAAATGAATTAATTTTTGTATTAATCAATTAATTAAACATTTAATAAAAAATGTACTGTACATAGCATAGAATTAAATGAAATGACGAAATAAAATAAAAAAAGTGATATTTATTGTTGCAGCTTTGCGTGCAATTTATTGTCGGCTTAGTTACAACCAACGATTACTATGATCGCGCTCTATGTTCTATCTCGTTGGCAGTGACGTCACAGAGGAGTTTTTGTCGGGTATAGTACGTCAGTGCCATATACACAAATAAAATCTCCCTTTACAGTCGACCCCCCTATAACACTGTTGATTATTCCGTTTTATATGAATTCCATGTTGTACGAGTCACTTAGATTTTACAAATACGTGAGCCGTTCACAGCCCAGCACATGTATTTGTAAAATCTAAGTGACTCGTACAACATGGAATTCATATAAAACGGAATAATCAACAGTGTTATAGGGGGGTCGACTGTACATTTATAAGATTGTAAAAAAGGGTTGAATACGAAAAGATGGTTTTCGTTTGTTAAATATTGCGTACGGTATTTAATTTTTTAATTACATTATTTGAGTAGTGTGTTATCATTTTGTTTTAATCTCAAAAATGAAATATTCTTGACAATAATAAGCTATAAACTTCCGGTAAATTTCCCAGAAATATTACACAGTAAATCAGATTAAAATGATTAAATGGTTGAGCAATACTTCAGAATTGCTTTAAC